GCCTGGTTCGTATGCCTCCCCAACACCCATTTCGGCACATCCCTCACACGTTTCGTGGCCCCATGGGGATTTCCACTGAAGGCCCCAGTGACTGGGTTCGCATGCGCCCCCACACCCATTTCGGCACACCCCTCACACGTTTCGTGGCACCATAGGGGGCTCCACCGAAGGCCCCAATGGCTGCGTTCGCATGCCGCCACACCAATTTCGGCACACCCCTCACACGTTTCGTGGCCCCACAGGGAGCTCCACCGAAGGCCCCAATGGCTGCGTTCGGATGCCGCCCCCACACCAACTTCGGTGCACCCCTCACACGCTTCGTGGCCCCATAAGGAGCTCAACCGAAGGCCCCAGTGGCAACGTTCGCACGCCGCCCCCCACACCCAGTTCGGCACACCCCTCAAACGGTTCGTGGCCCCATAGGGAGATCCACCGAAGACGGTACTCACACCAGCATTACTCACAACTGCATATGGTTGGGTCCTTCGCCAGGCTAATATTGTGATCTCTCTCCCTCTATCTCTCTCTCTCTCTCTCTCCCTCTCCCTCTCCCTCTCTCTCTCTATCTCTCCTTCCTTTTTTGCAAGGGATTCGCGCGACAGCGCGCGCGCAATGGCGTTCGCGCGATTCCGTCGCGCCCGCGGGAGAGGACCTCTTGGTGGCAATTTATGAACGCGTTGAAAACCTATGGTTTCTTGCAAATTCGCAAGAACACGGGCGCGGGCGTCTTGTGAGAACCCTTGTTGCGAAATCATGTGTTTCATGGTTTCGCGACTCTCGACTTTGAAACTCTCGCGAAACTCGGTTTCGAAGGATTGCGGCACGCGCGCGCGACGACGCGCGCACACTTCGTCCCTTTTTTGTATTAAAGGATTCCTGCGACAACGCGCGCGCGATGGTGCGATTTCGCCGCGCGCGCTAGGGGCCCGTTAGGGGGCAAATTTTGGCATGCACTGATACTTGTCCGTGAGAAATGGCAAAGGCCCGACCGCGAGCTCGTTTGAACATTTCGCTGCGAAGCCATATGTTTGCGTGCGTTTTCGGGGCGCTCGATTCTGGCGCCCCTATGGCGCCGAGGGTTTTGAAAGATTTGGGCGTTCGCGCGACGACGCGTGCGCGTGCGCGCTTCGTCCCGTTTCCTACAACGGAGCGATTGACAACGTACGCGTTTCCCAACCATCCTGTGGTGTTGGGTCCTCGTTTTGAAGAGACGGCGCCCCGCGTTCCTCACCTCCTCCTCCTCCCCCCCCTCCCTCCTCCCACCATCATCATCATCATCATCATCATCATCATCATCATCATCATCATCATCATCATCATCATCATCATCATCATCATCATCATCATCATCATCATCAGCATCAGCATCAGCATCAGCATCAGCATCATCCTCATCATCATCATCATCATCATCATCATCATCATCATCATCACACCACCACCCATTTCGGCACACCCCTCACACGCTTCGTGGCCCCATAGGGAGCTCCACCGAAGGCCCCAGTGGCTCCCCACCACCCATTTCGGCACACCCCTCACACGTTTCGTGGCCCCATAGGGAGCTCCACCGAAGGCCCCAGTGGCAGGGTTCGCATGCCTCCCCACCACCCATTTCGGCACACCCCTCACACGTTTCGTGGCCCCATAGGGAGCTCCACCGAAGGCCCCAGTGGCAGGGTCCGCATGCCTCCCCACCACCCATTTCGGCACACCCCTCACACGTCCGCCCCATAGGGATCCACCGAAGGCCACCGCATGCCTCCCCACCACCCATTTCGGCACACCCCTCACACGTTTCGTGGCCCCATAGGGAGCTCCACCGAAGGCCCCAGTGGCAGGGTTCGCATGCCTCCCCACCACCCATTTCGGCACACCCCTCACACGTTTCGTGGCCCCATAGGGAGCTCCACCGAAGGCCCCAGTGGCAGGGTCCGCATGCCTCCCCACCACCCATTTCGGCACACCCCTCACACGTTTCGTGGCCCCATAGGGAGCTCCACCGAAGGCCCCAGTGGCAGCATGGGGCACCCCTCACACGTGGCCCATGCACCGAAGGCCCCCAGGGTTCGCACCACCCATTTCGGCACACCCCTCACACGTTTCGTGGCCCCATAGGGAGCTCCACCGAAGGCCCCAGTGGCAGGGTTCGCATGCCTCCCCCACCCATTTCGGCACACCCCTCACACGTTTCGTGGCCCCATAGGGAGCTCCACCGAAGGCCCCAGTGGCAGGGTCCGCATGCCTCCCCACCACCCATTTCGGCACACCCCTCACACGTTTCGTGGCCCCATAGGGAGCTCCACCGAAGGCCCCAGTGGCCTGGTTCGTATGCCTCCCCAACACCCATTTCGGCACACCCCTCACACGTTTCGTGGCCCCATGGGGATTTCCACTGAAGGCCCCAGTGACTGGGTTCGCATGCGCCCCCACACCCATTTCGGCACACCCCTCACACGTTTCGTGGCACCATAGGGAGCTCCACCGAAGGCCCCAGTGGCTGCGTTCGCATGCCGCCCCCACACCAATTTCGGCACACCCCTCACACGTTTCGTGGCCCCACAGGGAGCTCCACCGAAGGCCCCAGTGGCTGCTTTCGCATGCCGCCCCCACACCAACTTCGGTGCACCCCTCACACGTTTCGTGGCCCCATAAGGAGCTCCACCGAAGGCCCCAGTGGCAACGTTCGCATGCCGCTCCCACACCCATTTCGGCACACCCCTCAAACGGTTCGTGGCCCCATAGGGAGATCCACCGAAGACGGCACTCACACCAGCATTACTCACAACTGTATATGGTTGGGTCCTTCGCCAGGCTAATTTGATGAGCGAATGTGTGCGCGTAGTTTTTTGTAAGGGATGAAAAATGAGGAACCGAGGCTGGCCTCCCCAGGGTGGTGCGAGCTCATATTTAGGATGGGCGGTGGGGCAGAATCACATGTAAATTGCAATGCGACGGGGTGGCCCGTTAACCCTGGGGGGGCGGGGGGGGTAGATCCTAATGCTCTCATTAAAACAAGGAGTCCAACCGAGGGCGACGAGGCGCCGACGGAGACCGCGTGGCCGCCGGGCCGAAGACGCGGCCCACGCGACGGGCGGCGGCGAGGCGGCGACGGGGCGGCGACGGCGACAACATAGCCGCCAAACCGAAAACACGGCCCAGTTCCTCAGGGCGCAAGTAAGGGCCCCTAAATGCGAGCACTGTCCGGGGAATCTGGACAGTTGGCGCGGGATCAGGGGGGGGCGGGGGGGCAGGGGCGAAAAGGCGGCGGGCGTTTCGGCAGGGCGTCGACTGTCGGAGCGAAAGCCTGATCCACGCTCGCGCGAATCAATCTCGCGCGGAGTCTCGCTGGCTGGTTCGGAGCAGGTGTGGTCGTATTCGTCTTCTCCTCCTTCTTCGCGCGGGCAGTGCCCCTGCTCCTACCTGTGGGCCTCCTCCTTCTGCTGCTCCTGAGGCTCCTGGCTCGTCGTCGAATGAGAGCAAGTCCTCCTTCGGTGCTGGTGGTGGGCCTTCTGCTGGGTGCCTCGGCGCGGAGCCCAGCTCCTGCCAGCTGAAGTCGCTGTTCGGTGTCGGGTTCGGCATGTCTCGGGACGGTCTCGATGACGTGTGCGACGATTGCCCGAAGTCGAGGGCCGCCAGCTCGTGCATGCAGGCTGCCGTTCCAGGCTGCGGGGCCTGGTGCTCGAGCTGTGGGAGTAGGCTCATGTGGTGCCCTTCGAGCTGTTCGCGCCGATGCCGTTCCTCCTGCTCCGCCATGGCCCGATCCCTGCTGCGAGCCGCGCCGCCCTCCGCGCCGCCGTCGCACCCGGGTCCACCTCTTCCTGTGCGCGGCGCGTGCCTGGCCGCCAGACCGCGGGCATCGCGCGCGGGGCAGGGCCGAGCGGAGCCCCCTTCGAGACCACACCGCAGGCACGGCCGAGGGAGAACTACGCGAGGGCACCTGCCACGACCGCGCGGTCGAGCCAAAATGGCTACGGGCATGTGTGTGTATGTGTGTGCGTAGGTGGATGGGAGGCGTGGGTGGCCCAGCGCGCATGGAGCTAAGGAATGCAATGGGGCGGCGTGGCGCGGGGCGGCGTGGGGTGAAGTGGGGGACGGGGATGCGGGTGGTGTCTCTGTGTGTGTGTTTGTGTGTTTGTGCTTGTGTTTGTGTGTGTGTTTGTGTGTGTGTTTGTGTGTGTGTTTGTGAGTGTGTGTGTGTGTGAGCGAGTGTGTGTTTGCGTGTGTGTGTGTGTTTGTGTGTTTGTGTGTGTGTGTGTCTTGTGTGTTTGTGTGTGTGTGTGTTTGTGTGTGTGTGTGTTTGTGTTTGTGTGTGCTTGTGTTTGTGTGTGCTTGTGCGTGTTTGTTTGTGTGTGTGTGTGTGTGTGTTTGCGTGTGTTTGTGAGTGTGCGTGTGGGTGTGTGTTTGTGTGTGTGTGCGTTTGTGTGTGTGTGTTTGTGTGCTTGTGGATGTTTGTGTGTGGGTTTGTGTGTATGTGTGTTTGTGTGTTTGTGTGTGGTGTCCGTGTGCGTGTACGTGTCCGTGTCCGTGTCCGTGGCTGTGTCTGTGTCTGGGTGTTGTGCGTGTGTGCATGTGTGCGTGTGTGCGTGCGCGTGCGTGCGTGCATGCGTGCGTGCGCGCGCGGTGGAGCTGAGGCGAAGGGAGGGCTGGTGATGGTAAGTTAATGGGGTGGTGTTGTGTGTGAGTGCGACATAGGCAAGATGAGGGGTAGGAGGGATAATGGAAGGGAATGGGGAGTGGAGGGAGAGGGAGGACAAATTTGAGGGTGGGGGGTGGAAGAGGGGAGGGGGGGAAGGGGAAAGAGACACATCCAGAGAACCCAGGATCGGCGGCACTGGCCGACGGCCATTACAGTCCAATCCTCTCATCGATGTTTTCGCTAAGTTTTCATTCTGGGCCTGGCCGACTGACCAACTGGCAGAAAATTGCACCGCCTGGATCTCACAGCACCTGCTCACAAGCCGAGCCAAGGCAGCGGGCGCGCGGGGGGGGGGCAGCTTCTCCTGCGGCCCGCTCGCGGCGCCGAGCCCCTCCTTGATCCTCGCGGGGGCGCTCCGCCCAGCGGCGGCCTCCTCCCCGCCACTGCACCTCGCCCCCTGCCCTGTGGGCGATCGGGGGGTCGATGCATCCCCCCCTGAGCACTGAGCATGCCCGCCCCCTGAGCACGCCCGCCATCTAGCATGCCCGCCCCTAACATCCCCTCTATGTACCTCGGCCCCCTGAGCATGCCCGCCCCTAACGCTGCCTACGACATCCCTCGTCTGCCCCCCGGCCCTGGCGGCTGGTCTGTCGCCCGTCGCTCCGCTCGACTGGGGCCGGCACCCCCTCCTCCTCCTCCTCCTCCTCCTCCTCCTCCTCCTCCTCCTCCTCCTCCTCCTCCTCCTCCCCCTCCTCGTCCCAAGTGAGGCCAGAGCCTGGCATGGGAGGCTCAGAGGTTTGCACCAACACCAATATCGGCGGTTGCTTCCAGCGAGGGACGACGATCCGACTGTATCCGCCGACCCGTATGTGAGTTGAAAAGAGCGTAAGCTTGAGCTCGCTTGAGCTTCGCTCCGGGCAGGGGGGTGGTGTTCCGTTTTCGGGGGAATTTAGTTTCGCTGTGGAGGGGAAGGGGGGGGGAGGTTGTTCCATTTTCGAAGGGGGAAGGCTCGTTTCGTGTTGATGCCAATTTCCAGGCCTCCCACAGCCCCGTGGTTTGCAGCTCTACTTTGGCCTGCTGACTGGGCCGTGGCAGAAATGCACGAGCTCGCCTCTCCTCGTGCGGTGGTGCAGCTCTCTTCGGCTTCGCCGAATGAGGAGGAGTGCGACAAGGCCTTCGAGACCAGCCCGAGCCGCCCGCCACTGCGGAGCGCTGGGCGGCGGCCGCTCCGCAGCCCGCCGCCGAGACGGGCGCCGCGCCCCGGAGGCCGACGCCCAGCGGTCCGCGAGGCCGCCCACCGCGGCCGACGCCGAGCGGCCCGCCGAGGCGAGCGCCTCGGGTCCTCCTCCTCCTCTTCCTCCTCCTTCTCCAACGGTAACTTTGCACATATTGCCTGCCTCTCTTATCTGCTTAGCAAAAAAATTGCTTCAGGGTCCCAAAGCCCGGGGCCCGGCGAAGGCCCCTGGGGACCGAAGACCGTCAGACACCCGCCGACTTCATTGTTGGCAAGATGTAGACCCACATCCTCTGCAGCTTGGAGTTTCGGGCCCCCTTCCCTGGACACCCGAGGCGCAGTGGATATGTATAAAAGTCTGGCCCCTAGAGACTAGATTTCTTATCCATGTCCACCGCGCCTCGGCATTTTGGGGGCTTCCTTCCCCAGAAAGTCCAAGACGCAGTGGGTATGGACCCACGCTGTGAAAAAAATCACGACGTCAGAGGTCTGGGTTAGAAGCGCTCGGCTGCCTTCGGCGGCACTCGGAAGCCCTTCTGAGATCCTCGGGGGGGGGCTCGGAGGACTTTGGAAGCCCTCGGGGGCTGTCGGATAGCGGGGCGAAGGAAGTCTGACCTCCAAGAGGTTCGACCGAAGGACAAATCTTGCCCGCGCTCATTGTTCCGACGCCACCGCTCGGACCTCCTGCGGCCGCCCAGGGCGAATCCAGGCACCCGCGGAGCGCTCGCGGCGAGGCGCAGCTCCCGGAGAGCGCCCCCGAGGCAGGGAGGCCTCACGGGAGGCAGCGAGAACACTCCCGAGCCCTGACGTCCGCCGGCATGACCTGCGCGGTCCACGGCCTCATAAGTCCCGGGCGCTTCCCCTTGCCATCGCTCGGACGTCCATTTCCCGTGCATTTGTCGGTTTCGTGCGTGTTTTTTTTGCTCGATGGTCCAGGATGCTCCTCGATGGTCCTCGCCGAAGGAAAAATGCACACGTCCGAGCGATGCCAAATTCCCTGGGGTGGCTCTTCGCCCCAAGTCCATCTCTGATCGCCCCGGGGCCCGATGAGGGGGCCACTCGAGCAAAGACGCTGGGATTGAAACGGAATCTCGTCGGCGAAGCTCTTGGGCCCCCCGGCGCTTCCGAGACCTCGGCGCCCCCTGACGCTGCCCCCGATCCTCCGCTCCAGCGCTTTCGGGCCTCGGACCTCGAAACTTTGGTGCCCCCCCCCCACTGCCGTCGCCCGTGAACCCCCCGTCGCCGGGCCTCGGCGGCACGGCCGTCAGGGGCGCCGAGATGTGCCCCACCGCGGCGGGCAGCTGCGCCGGCGGGGCGCAGGCCTGGCCAGGGCAGGGGCAAACAGGGGCTCCCAACTTCGCGCTTCGCGCTTTGCGCGGAGCGCGAAGCGCGAATGACTCCGCGCTCTCGCGCCGCCTCCCAGGGGAGAAGGGGAGGACGAGGAGGCATCGGAGCCGAAGCGCGAAGCGCGAAGAACTTCGCGCCCTCGAGGGCGCCTTTGGGCAGACGCCCTGGAGGAGCGGCCGAGGGCGGCCCCGCCGAGGGGGGCTGATGCTGACACTGCGCCCCCACGTCACGCGGGACGGCCCTGCGAGGGGCGGGGCGCGGGTCTCGTGGCGACTGCCTACCAAACCACCCCAGCCCAACCCGAAGGCCTGACTTTGACCCGAATTTCGGGCTGCCTACCAAACCACCCCAGCCCAACCCGAAGGCCTGACTTTGACCCGAATTTCGGGTTGGGGGGGGTACGGGTTCCATGTGTCGGGGTGCTGTTGTGATAGAAGCTAACTCCGGCCGAGGGAAGTCGAAGCAGAAACATCCTCACACAAATTTGATGTTCCGTGCCGTTTCGCTTGAGACATCTTCACAACTCTCGTTTCTGAATTGGCCGGGATTGGCCGTTTCGCCTGAGACATCCTCAAAAGTTGCGCTTCGGGACGCCGCGCGAGAAGTGGTCCGGGCCGGTTCGCTTGAGACATCCTTGAAACTCTGAGCCCCGAGGTGCCGTGCGAGAGGTGGTGCGGGCCGTTTCGCCTGAGACATCCTTGAAACTCTGAGCTCTGAGATGCCTTGCGCGAGGTGGTCCGGCCCGTTTCGCCTGAGACATCCTCGAAACTCTGACCTCAGAGATGCCGCGCGAGAGGTGTCCGGCCCGTTTCGCCTAAGACATTCTCGAACTTCTGAGCTCTGAGATGCCCTGCGCGAGGTGGTCCGGCCCGTCTCGCCTGAGACATCCTCGCAATTGTTGACGCTTCGCGTATCCCCACCAGCGTCCGTAGCCTCTGGCTCAAGCCCTCTGGCTCAAGGCCGTCTCTGGGCCCTGGCCCCTCGGCCGGGTCTCCCAGCCCAAGGGGGTATCCCCTAGGAGTTTGCGGGCCGCGCGCTGCCCCCGGGCTGCGCTTCGGCCATATCAGACTCCCTGGATTACACCTCCCCCAGCGGCGCGGCGCGGCAGCCAGCCTGCCAGGTCAGGCTTAGCATGGATGGGAACCCGATCGGTGACAGATCTAGGATCCCTGGGAACCCGGCGGGCGAAGTTGAAGCCTAGTCGAGGGCCAGGGGGCCCACATACTGGCTGGTTCAAGCCCTCCTCCCCTAGGACCACAGGATACCATCCTTCCAGGGCAGCCGTCGCCCCTCGCTCCTTGGGACCCTCCGGGCTCGATCGGTCCGACCGCGTCCGAGGATCTCTTGATCGTGCCCGTCAACTCAGCAGACACACGAGAACAACCGGCCTTCAGCCGGACGGAAGTTGAGGGTGCCGCGGTGAGCGCCGCGAGACACAGTGACACTGCGACCTTCAGTCGCTTCCCTGGGTTTGAGATTGACAGCAACGACTCTTTCCCGCCAGATCTGTTCCCCTCCCTTACCCCGACGCTTCCTCTGCCCCTGGCTGGGCCTCCAATCTCCTTCTCCCCTGGCAGTGAAGGGCAGGACTGGACCGCGCGCGGCGATACCAGGACCACGGGGGGCCTTGGCCCCATTCCTGATGAAGAGCATCCCCCGAGAGGCTCAGGCCCATTGTGGCCGCGCAGGAGCTCCCGCCAGAGAGGCGCTTTCGGAGATCGCCCCATTCCCGATGAAGAGCATCCCCCGAGAGGCTCAGGCCCATTTTGGCCGCGCAGGAGCTCCTGCTAGAGAGGCGCTCTCGAAGATCGGCCCAGGAGCTTGATCGACGAGGGTGGATGGCCTATGCCTGAGGCTGCCCAGGGGGGTGAGTGCTGTGATGATGGGTGGGTGGACGGACCGCCGCCCGCCCACGTCTCCGATCCACATCCCAGTGGCTCACGCCCCCACTCCGCCGACCGCCCTCCCTTGGACGCTTCAATACGGAGAGGAGCAGCCTTCAGCTGCGAAGGGGCCGATCCTTTGACCGCGGAGACCGTCGTCCCGGTCGCGCAGCCGACCCCTCCCACTGATGTGGGCCGACGTCAAAACGGCTCCCGCCTTCCGCCCGCCGCCCCCCCCCAGGCACGACAGCGTTGTATACACAGAAGACGGGCCTTCAGCCCGGGGAGCGCCGTGCGAGACAGCAGGAGTGGACGAGCCTGTAGCTCGGGATTCTTTAAATGGACAAATGGACGTTGACGGTGGCGCGGTTGCCAATCAGCTCCATGGTCACCCCTGTAATCCCAACGACTCCCGTCCTTCATCCGCCCCCCAAGCTGACAATCACAGACGGGACGAGCCTTCAGCTCGGGAGTCACAGGCGGGACGAACCTGCAGCTCGAGTCTCCAAGGCGTATCTGACAGTTACAGAAGGGGCGAGCCTTCAGCTCGAGAACCAGAGACGATGCCCATGGATGCCGAGGGCGCCGCAGAGACTGTGGCCATGAGTGGCGGCTGCATTGAGCCCCCAGCCATCCCTGGTGAAGCAATTCAGCAGGCGGACTCCCAGGCCCGCGGCGGGCGCACGGCCAATGCCGCCGACGTAGTCATGGAAGCGCCAGGCTCCCCAACGGGGCCGAACCAGAGAGGACGCGTCGATGACGGTGCGGCTGGCACAGTCGGCGCTAAAGGCGATCTAGGTGGCTGCCGCCATGACACCGCCGCTCCCCTCCCTGGAGACATAGGCGTCACTACGACAGTAGCGCCCAGCCCCCATGTCGTTGACCTCACCGATGGGACTGGCCTTTAGCCAAGAAGAGATGAACAGGAAACGGCTGGGGTGGACGCGACGAGCACACTGAACGCTGCGCTCGACAGGGGCTACAGAGCGGCGCGTCTCGCGACAGGCAGCGACGAAACGAACGGCCACGGCCAATCCTCCCTGGCAGCGACGACGGCCGTATCCACGGGTCGACCCCACACATCCGACGCCAGCAGGGTCCCATCTGACCCTGCCCACGAAGTGGGCTCCCTGGTCGATCTGATCGATCGCATCGAACCCCCGATCGTCGCCGCTGGACCACCCTGCGTCCCCCTCTCCTCGCCTACCCGCTCCCCTCCCATCCACTCCTCTCCTGGCCCCCCCCCCTGGGTTGGAACATCCAAACGCAATTCCGGGCGGCAGTGGCCATGGCCGCGAAGGCCCGTCCCAAGGGGTGGGCCGTGGGCCCCTCATCAGGACTGCCAACGGTTCTCCGTTCGTGTTGAGGCGCGCGGCTCCCAGAACGCCCAGCACGCCCATCCCACTCCCCTTCCCTTCTCCAGACCTTGCCCTGGAGGAGGAACTTAGGATGGCGAGCCAGGATGCCCCCACTGACGCGGAGGATGGCACCAGCCAGGCCCATATAGAGAGAGGGTGCAGTATGCAACCGACCTGCATGCTCGATGCACGGACGCCACCGGACACACGAACGCAGACTGGGCAGTCAGTCGAGAGACTGATGGACCCATGTGTGGGCCACGCGTTGCTGACCCTAGGGTCACAGGCAGGGGAGGCACCATGAATGCCCTCCGTCGCCACCCAGTGCGCATTGACGGCCCCTGGCGAGAAAGCCCCGACCGAGGGGCACCTAGAACCGCCGACCAAACCAGTAACCTGGAGCTCCTCACCCACCACGCGTGGAAGGGGGCATCGCCCTGGTCATCCTGGTATACGGGAAGGCAGCCCCCTGCGAGCGGTCCCAAACGACGCTCCCCCCCCCGGGTTCGGATCTCAGCGAGCCACCTCGGCACCAGCCCTCGCCATCATGGACCTCTCCTGGCTGGTCTGGTCAGTCACAGGCGGAGACCACGAAGGACGCTCAGGGGGTACTCAACCTGATCCGACGCAGGTGCTAGCCCTCCGCTTCGCGAGTGTCACTCATGACCCCTGTGTAAGAGACTGGACGCGGACGATCCCTCCGTGGTGGAAATGCCACTAGCACGTCTCGAGTACGCCGTCATGACGACCGCAGCACACCATTGCGACATCGGGATGGAGCCTCCGAGTGGATACGACACGAACAGAATGCTCTCGCCCACCAGGCCTCCCCGTGATGCTGTGCCACCGCGCAGCAGCGGCCCCAACCGGCCAGACGGCACCCAAGACCCCATGGACGACGAGACCAGGGCGTACGCGTACAGAGTCCTAATCCACGAGCGCAGGCAAAACATAATTCATTTTCCGGACCACAGGGACATCAGACATTGGGCCACCAGGAGGGGCAATCTCGAACGGGTTGGCGACGACGTACACTCGAGACGACAATCAGGTAGAGTCCCCGTGCCATGGGCAGAGCCAGCTCTAACAGGAGCAACGGCCAGCACAACTGGCATCCCCGGGGTACCGATCCAAGGTGGCGACAGAAATGACAACGCGTGGCCCTGGTCCACCACTGCGCATCGCCTGCTGCTACGGGATTTCTTCTGCCCGACTCAACGGCGCGACTTCTGCGGATCGTGGATGCTTCGAGACCCGGCGGGCCGACACTGCATCACCTGCCAGAGGTTGGCCAACCCGTGGAGCTACAGCGAAGGCGAGCAGCAGTCGGGCGACCCCCACCAGGTTCACCCCAGCGCGGAAACGGGCCAGCCACTCAACAGGCACGCCCTCGACCTCCATGATGGCACCCTGCAACTTCAGCTGGTCAGGGCAGGCATGCGATACGCCCCAGTCGCAGAGCACCTCTACTTTCCAGCCCAGCCGGGCCCCGCGGATTTTACCCCGACCTGGCTCGTGGGCGAGCTTCTGGGAGCCTGGAGGCACATGGCGCCCCAACCCGACACCTGGGCCAACAGCGGCTTCATCGACAGAGCAGACCTTGGAGATGAGATGCAACTGCGCCCAGCAGTGGCCACCCTTGCGCTGCTTTGCTCCGCGCCAGAGTCCTGGGCCCTTGAGGCCTGCTTAGGAGTGCGCCGAGTCCTTAGGACGCGCCCCGATGGGCGACTTGGC